ACCAAAAAAACAAACAAACAAAAAAACATTTAAACATGATTTTGTATGTGTAATCTGGAGTCTAGGAGTGAAACTGTTAGGTCATAAATATGCAAGTCTTCAATTCTACTAGACAATGCCATTGTTTTCCAAGTGCTTGTCTCGGTTTCCCTCCCCCAGCAGTATGAGTTCCTGCTGCTCCATATCACTGCCAACACTTGGTATCATCAGACTTTTTAATTTCTCCAATGAGTGGATGTAAAAGGACATTTCACTGTGACTTTAATTTGCATTTCCACAGACCTTCTGTTCTACCTCTGGTCTTCTGCACAAGGCAGGGCAGAGATGTGGGCATCTAGCAGCTTCTCATACAGACTTTCAATCAATCCTCTGGTTCTGCACCCGCCCCCTACCCTGACATTGTTTTCTGAGCTATCTGGTGCCTCCAATTCTTGTGCAAACCCACCTCTGCTGCTGGCTGCCTCCCACCACATTTTCCCCTATGCGTTAAAAAATTTATTCTGGGTGGCATAATTGGTAGAAGTTTTACTAGTATATAATTGAGCAAAACAACACAATTTTGATAAATAATTATTATGTATGAAACCACAATTCTGTCGGACATATATCTCTTCCTGAAATGCAGAAGTGGAGATGTTAGCTTGGTTAAAGGAGGCCATATTTCAAATGGCTTCTTTTCCTGATGCCTGGGAGCCTTTTACCCTGTCAGGCTGCGTACCATGGTGCAATGCCTTTGTCTTGTCAATTGGGGTCAGGTTTGTGGGAAAGGGCACTGAGCACCTTTAGGTCAGAGCACAAGTGCAAGGAAAGGGCAGGACATTGGCTCCTTGGGACCATCCATGCCGAGCACCTCCCAGAGAATCTTCACATACTTCTGAGGAGACATGTATCCCAGTGTAAAGACTACTCTTCTAGACAATGAAGTTAGAACACTGGCAAGAAATATGCAGAATCACATAGCACGTTCTCCCTTCCTTCTGGCTGTAGACTTAGACCATTCCAAACAGATGACGGATGATCCATTGCATTACTGAGATGGTCAGCATATGACATTCCACAAACATCCTAAATAATGTCATTCTTTTATTCAACTAATAGTCATCGTGCACCTCCCGTGTCAGGCACTGCTCTATTAGGCACTGAGGATCCAGGGTCGAACAAGAGGAGCTTTGGGAACTGAGTCAGTAGGACATGGGATGGTGGGATGGTGAAGGACGGGAGAGACAGAGGGTCTAAGATGTCCCCCACGGTTCTGCTTGGTGCACTTGAAAGGAAGTCAGAAAAGAAGCCAGGTTGGAGAGAGATGGTGACGAGTTTGGTGTCTGGTCTGCGGGGGCATTGCAGGTAGAGGCAATTGGCTCCATGGGCCTGGGGTTTAATCAGAAGATACAACCAATCATAGTTCATGAACTTCTTTCAAAATTGGAATGCAAATAACACTCACCGAGCATATACTTTACACCATGTATTGTGCAATTCTCAGGGGTTTTAAAGATGAAGAGACGTGCTCTTTTGTCTTCTGAAGCTCTCAGGCTAGTGGTGGCAGACATGTAAGAGAAGGGGAAGAGGTAAATCCCCGGAGAGCAGGTTTGGGTTTGGCTCTTATGCTGGCCTTGGTCTGGATCAACTGAACCTAATGGAATCAGGGAGCTGCTAAGCAGGAGAGTGTCTGCCATTCGATGCTCTAATTTCACAGATAGACATTGAGGCAGTTTCTCCCAGCGTTGACATTCAGGCACTGCTGATACCCTGAGGAACTTCTTTTCGCAGGCACTGCTCATTCTTCAGCTCAGAATGCCACTGGAGCCACAGAGAAACACTGAAGGACCTTCTGGAGACCTGACACCCCAAGATGAAAGGCCACCTCTCACCAGCTGCATAGAGAGCTTTGTGGGGACCATCAATGCAGGAAGAACCTGGACTGTTTTCTGGAAAAATATTCTATTTTATTTTTTCAAACTCCCCCCTCCCCGAAAAATATTCTAGAGTCACCTTAAATATTCTCCATATCTGGCAATGGGGACTTAATAAGAGAATATTCCTCATTGAAGTGTAGACCATGTTTTTCCTAAGAGGAAACACGGGACCTTCACCTTGAACAAATCCATCTTCCAAGGCGGGAGGTGGTGAGCTCTTCCATCATTTGCTCTGATCTCCTAAATCAATGATCACCCCTCCACTGTTTTACAGCTTTTGAAATTTCCCTGCTAGGTGGTCCTCTAGTTTCCTGTTATGAACTTGAACTCTGCAATCCCTCTGCTCTCTTTTTAGTGGTGTTTGGAGGAGGCAAAGGCCAAGCGTGTGTCCCAGCTCCCGTGGTGCCTTTGTTCTTCCTGGTATCCTTTGTATTTTCTCTCCTTCCATTCTTGCTACAGCTGTGTCTGTTTTACCACTTTCAAAGAAACAACTTTTGGCGTTGTTGGTCTTTCTGTATCTGTGTCATTAATTTCTGCTGTCTTTGTGATTTCCTTCTTTCTACTTTCTTCGGGTTTACTCTTTTGTGGTTAGACAAACTTCCTGAGTTGGCCCTGGTCTAGCTGGTTTTAAGGCTATCCATTTCGTTTGTAGTGTTTTCGTTGCCGTTCAGTTCTAAGTGTTTTTAGATTTTCATTATAATTCTTCTTGGACCAATGAATTATTTGGAAGTGTTTTTTAATTTAAATTTCCGTACATATGGGAGGCCTTAATTTTAGTTTTGTTACCAATCTGTGATTTTATTTTATTGCATGGAAAACATGCTCCATGTGATGCAAATTCTTTCACTATTTGTTGAGACTTGTTTTGTGGCCCAGGACATGGTGAGTTTAGTAAATGTTCAAGGTGAACTTGAAAAAAATGTGTAGTCTCTAGTTTTTGGATGTCCATTAAATCAAGCTTGTTCAATTTTACTATATTTTTACTAATTTTTTCTGCTTGAACTATCAATTCCAGTGGGAGGTGGTATAATTTATTGTGGAGAATTTGCTAATTTATTAATTGCTCCTTTTCCTGCTACTTTTTCGGTTTTTATTCATTTGAGGCTCTAACATCAGGCAGGTGCACACAAGTTCAGAATGGTTAACACTTCTGAGTGAATGATTTATCATGATGCAGCAGCCTCTCGTATCCCTAATGATGTCTTTGCCCTGATGCCTACTCTGTCCAATATTACCTTCTCTCCACTAGCTTCCTTTCGTCCGTCCATCTGTACCTAATAGGGCCTGGTGGCAGACCACAAAACCATTCTAGTTATGCAAGTTGCAAAGAAAAAATAAATAAAGGGGACTCGTTATCAGGTGTGGATGACTCACACAATCTTGGGAAGAGATGGAGGAACAACTCCCTGGCCTCCGAATCTGCCACCTCTCCTGGATCAGGAACAAATCCTAACCTTAAAATGTGGATAAAATGCAGTCTACACCCCAACCTCCAAATGAGAGACCGAGAGCCTCCCCCCGGCTGTCTATACTGAAACGTCAACTGCCATCTGCCTCTGCGGCCCACACCTCACTGAGGAGCTCCAGCTCCAAGCCCACTGCCTGCACACCTTCTAGGGGGGCCCCTTCTCCCCAGGCCTGCCCCTTGCCCGGCGCTGCCTCTCTCTGCCAAGGGCGCCGTTGTCCACCAGCCCTCCAAGGCAAAAGCCAGGGGCCACCTTGCCTCTCCCCTCTGCTGCCCCCACGCCTGTCGAGTTCTTCTAACTGCTTGAGTCCCTCTCGGACTTCAGGCCTTGGCTTGTCCTGTCTGGGCTGCCGCAAGGGCCTTGCTCCCTTCTCTCTCTCTCTCATGTATCAATCACGTATCCACCTAATATCTCTCATTTATCTAGCCACAGCCAGTCATTATCAATCTGTCCGTCTATCTGCTAGCACCCATTTCCTATCATCTACATACCATATGTCTATCAATATCACCCACCACTCCATTCTCTTCTATCATCTGTCCATCCATCTATCCATCACCTATCATCTACCTATTTTTTGAGGTGAAATTCACATAACATAAAATTAATCCCTCTAAAGTGCACAATTTAGTGGCATTTAGTCCATGCACAATGTTGTGTAGCTATCACTTCTAATTCCCCTTCTAATTTGTCCCAAAAGGAAACCCTATCCCCATCAAGCAGTCCCTCCCCCTCCCTCTCCCTCAGCCCCTGGCACCCACTGATCTGCTTCCTGTCTCTATGGATTTGCCTGTTCCAGACATTTCACAGAAACGGGATCACACACTATGTGGCATTCTGGGTCTGGCATCTCTTCCTGAGCATGAAGTCTCAAGCTCCTGCACCCTGTAGTCTTCATTCCTTGTTATGGTCGCGTGCTACTCCATCATGGGACAGGCCACTTTTTGTTTGTCCATTCGTGCCCATGGGCACTTGGGCTGCTCCCACTCTTTGGCTGCTATGAGCCTCCATGCGTGAAGGTTTGAACTGCTGTTCTCTGGGCTTCGATGCTGGTGGGAGCGCCAGGACTGCCACGTCACTGCGGCTCCCGTTCCCAGCACCCACCTGCACACGCAGCCACGCAGCCTACTCTGGGCAGAACCTGATGTTGTGGCCTCCAGCCCAGCCCCTCCCTGCCCCTGTACTTGGCATTTTGCTCCTGCATTGCCCCTGGGCCTTTGCACGAGAAGGTCCCTCTTCCTAGAAGGTCTAGATGCAGTCTTCTTCCTCTGTGCTCCCCACACCCCTACTTGGTGGCTCCTCAGCTTTCCCCAGTCCCTTTCTCAAAGCTCCTCAGGCAGAGACCGGGCAGTGGTCCCTTCCCCCAGCATCAGACTCAGAGTCCTATTCAGGCTCAGCCAGTATTTTTGTGCAATGTTGTCACTGGTTCCGCCTTCCCGCCACCACGTGAACCCTAAGAACATGTAGCTCCCAAGGCCATGTCTTTGGGTAGGGTAGGAGGCGGCAGCTGGTGGTTAGGTCCACTCCTTTCCCAAACTCACCCTCTTTCCCACAGGCAATCTACTCCCCCAGACACTGAGACAGGCAGGTGGGGTTGAGTTTTCCACAGGAGGTTTTACTGAGGGTCTGAGGGCCCAGAAAAGGCACACGGCGGCAGTGGGGTCTCCCTCCTGAGTGAGGACTGGCTCTGCAGAGACAGCTACCCGGCTGACCCCTCTTTGGCACTGAGCTGGGAACGTGGTGCCCTTGCTCCTGGCCGGCAAGCAGAGGCCTGTGCCTCCCAGTGGTGGCTGGCAGTGTAGGCTGGTGGGCGACAGCTGCCCAGGGACTGGGTTTGGCACCAGTGGCAGCCAGGGCCCACGGACTTAGAGGCTGGGCTGCCTCCCCTGCTGGCAGGTACTCACATTGGCAGCCGAGGTGGCTACAAACAGGAATCCAATAAATTAGGCTGCAGAAAGGGAGAGGGCTAGGGCTGCGTTCTCATCACCGCTCGGTAGGCGACACCATGCAGTGCTTTCTCATGAGGGCTCTTCTGAAACTACTGGTGGGGAGAAGAGGATGCAGACAAGGGGCTCCGTCTCACTGGGTGGCCCATCTGGCCGCTGTTACGGCAGGAAGGGTGTCCCGTGGGATGGGAGTCTCAGCTGGCCACCCTGAGGGGATGGGCTATATGGTCTTCAAGGGACTGAAGAGGAGGGTAAAATGGGGACTTGAGTCTTATGAGGGAGGTGGTTTGGCACAGACTCTGGCTGGCAGTGGTGAGCAGCAGCCTGGGGGAGTCCCTGCTCTCCGCTCAGTTGCACTGGTGTGTGGTCAGTGTGGGGGCCATCCTGAGCCCCAAGCTCCTTCCCCACAAAAAGTAAAGGACTCGCTGCCCCGAACAGGGCACAGTTACTGTGGAACAGCCCCCAGGGTTCGGGCAGGTGTGGGGCGGGAGGCAGAAGGCCCGGGAGGAGGGCAGGCCATGCAGGGGCGGTCAGGGTGGGTGTTTCCTTCATATGTTCCGAGAGCTTGGGAGGGGTGAGGGCCTTGGGGCAAGGGGCCCTGTCAGGTGGAGGCACCCTGGAGGCCGCTACCTGGGCCTTCACAGCTAGGTGCTGGTGGCTGCCCCGGGGCCACAGCCTCGCCCAGGATCTGGCAGAGCTCCTGGAGGCGCTGCTGCATCTTGGGAATGCCTGCCAGCTGCTGTTCCAGCCGCTGCTTCTCCTCAGTCAGGCTCAGGCGGGTGGCCGAGTCCAGCTTCTCGAATTTCCAGCCGCCCTCCCCGTCGAACTGTAGCAAGTGTGTGTGGTACTTCCTGGCCAGGAGAGGGAGAGGGACAGGGAGGCAGGCAAGGGTGCTTAGCAGGAGCCACCTGCTGGGCTGCCAGACCACTCTCCTCCTGGGGATGGCATGGTCCCCTGGACTCCGGGCCAGAAAAGAGGGCACCTACCACAGGGAGGGCCGGTGGGTGATGGAAAGCAGGGCAATGCCAGCATCCTTGGCTGCCTGGAAGATCTTGCCTTCCACGTCGATGCTCACGGCGCTGGTACATTCATCCAAGAGGGCATATTTGGGCCTTGGGGGTTGGGGGCCAAGTGGGAGAGTCTATGGATCCTCCAGTGCCCGACACCGCAGGCCTCCTAAGGGCAGCTGCTTTTCTCCTCTGGGGGACCCCAGAGAGCCCACCTGCCCAAGCAGGCTCCCCGGCTCCCACACCCAGCCTCCTGGGAGTGCCTGCTGGCTCCAGAGGGCTCCCTGGGCCCAAGGGAGCTGGACTACCCTGGGTCCCCTGGAAAGCCACCTCTGAGGGCTCACCTGTGGTAGAACATGCGGGCCATGCCAATTCTCTGCTTCTCGCCCCCCGAGAGGACGTCCTTCCAGTCACGCACAGCCTCCCAACCTGGGCAGGGGGCAAGGGGCTCTGCTCAATTCCACAGGGGCTGGGGCTGCAGGGGCCAGTCCTGGAGGTGGGGCAGGGAGGGCCTAAGCTTGCTCAGCAGAGCTGGGGAAACAAGTCAGAGGCGTGACGAGCACATCTGACTCCACAAGAGCCTGCTCAGCTGCATGCTTACACTCTGTGTCCTTGTCTGTCTGTGACACTTTTTTTTTTTTAAGAGACAGGGTCTCACTCTGTCACCCAGGCTAGAGTGCCGTGATGTCATCACAGCTCACTGCAACATCCAACTCCTGGGCTCAAGTGATCCTCCCGCCTCAGCCTCCTGAGTGGCTGAGACTACAGGTGTGAGGCACCATACCCGGCTAATTTTTAAATGTTTTGTAAAGACAGGGTCCCGCTATGTTGCCCAGGCTGATCTCAAACTCCTGGGCTTAAGAGATCTTCCTGCCTCAGCCTCCCAAAGTGCTGAGATTACAGGCCTGAGTCATTGCACCCAGCCTGTGATGCTTTAATAACTGAAAAAGAGTTGGATATTCTGAAATTAAAAAAAAAAAAGAAAAAGAGTTAGGACTGGAATTTTGTTTCCCCCAAAAAGACATGTTGGAGTTCTAACCCCAGTACCTTAGGATATGACCTTATTTGGAAATAGGGTCTTTACAGAGATAATCAAGGTAAGATGAGGTCACTAGGGTAGACCCTAATCCAATATGACTGTGTCCCTATAAAAAGGGGAAATTAGGACACAGGGACACACAGAGGGAAGACAACGTGAAGAGACACAGGGGGAAGACGGCCATCTACAAGCCCAGGAAAGAGGTCTGGGAACACAGCCTTCCCTCATAGCCCTCAGAAGGAACCAACCCTGTGACACCGTGATAGCCTCCCGAGCCAGGAGATGATCTGTGTCTGCTGCTCAAGTTCCCCATCTGTGGGATTTTGTCATGGCAGCCACAGGAAACTCCTACGGCACCTGACAGGGTGTTAGTGAAGAGCCAGCCCACACTCCCTCGGTGGGAGCAGACAGCCTTGCAGAGAGCCCAGCGACAGCCACAGCGGTCTCCCAGAACAGAGGCTCCTCCCCGTATGGGCTGGGTCCTCCCACCACCTGGTGCCAGCACCTGGGTGAGGACAGCGTGGCAGGGATGGCTCCTCCTCTCCTATCGTCGGTTCTGCTTTCTCACATGACTAGAGGCCTTGGCAGGGCACACGGCTGCTCAGAATAAAAGATCACACTTCCTAGCTTGCCTTATGCTGAGGTGTGATATGTGACTAAATTCTGGCCAATGGGATGTAAGTGTTTAAGTGTTACACGTGTGGCAACTTCTGGAACTTTCCTTGAAAGACAGAAGGCACTTCTTTGCCCCTTCCTCCTTACTTCGTCCATCCTACAGCTTAGATGTGGATGTGATGGCTGCAGCAGCCATCTTGCATCATCAGGTGACTCTGGGAATGGAGGCCACATGCAGCAGAGTCTTCGCAGAGCAGGGCCGGCCCACCAACCAACTGTGGCCTGAGTCTCCTGGGACTTTCACAGCACAGTAGGATTAGCTCACGAATGATTTAAGCCACTACTGGGGGGAGGCACAGTTCTGTTCCTCACAGCTGAATTCAATCCTAACACGTGGTGGTGGTCGGCCACAGGCCCTGGGCATTCAGGGGTGCCAGAGAGTACAGGAGGAGGGTATACTCCCAGGCCAAGGGCAGCAGGAGCAAAAGAGGCTGGGCCAGGGGCTGTTCCACTGAACTCACCACCTCTGTCCCTCCCTTTCAGCACGGGCAGGTGACAACTCATGATGGGCCCTTCCAGGAGTTACTTCCTTCAGTGCTGCCCCAAGGGAGGAATTGGACCTAGCCCCTCTCTCGTGCAGGTAAAGGGAGTCTCAGAGAGGTGATGTCTCTGCCTATGGTCATCTTGTGCCTAGTCGTGGGGGCTAGAAGCAGAACCCTGATGCTCAGATTTCACTAAGAAAATTGGACACACCTTCCATTCTGGCCCGCAGCTGGAGCAGCTGGATCAGCCTCCCCTCCTCCCTCCCTCCAGGCACAACGGACACTGCAGTCAAGCAATGGGGAGGGACGCAACACCTTTCCTTGCCACCAGCCAGTGTCTCCCTCTGGTGAGCACTCGCTCAGTGTCCCCTCTGTCTATCCCCTGCTCCCCTAGGCCTGCAAACTCCGGGCCACCCCCACACACCTGCACTTACCTCCTGCCTGGCTGCCCCTGCCACCACCTCATGCTTGTCCTCCACATTAGAGCTGGGTCATCTTGCTCAAAGGCAAAACTGACCTGTCACTTCCCTGCCTAAAGCCTTCCAGGGCTGCTTCTTTCTGATCCCTCTCAAGGAAAGCCCAGGCTCCCACCTGGTCCAGAGGGTCCTCCATGAGCCAGCCCCTCCCTGCCACCAAGCCCAGCTGGCCCTACTGTACCTTGGCTCCCAGACAGCGTGACTGCTTAGCATTCCACAGGTCTTAGCTCAGATCTCTCTTCTCTGGGAGAGGGTGTCCCAGGCCCCCCAACAAGATAAGTGGCCCTGCTAGATGTCCCCTTCCCTACTGCACTCATGCCACCTGGGGCCACCTATTTACTGCCAGTCCTCCCTGGTAGGCAGGTCTCAGAGGCACCAAGCACTTTGGACTCCTGGATGTTGAGATAATCATCATCCCCTGGGGGCCAAGGGGGAAAGGCCAGGGGAAGCAGCAGGTTCCCCATCAGAGTCTTGGGACAAAGGGCACTTGCCCCACCTCTTACCTCCTTCCCGCTGTAGGATGTGGTGCAGGTGCACGATGTCCAGGATGGCTTCCAGGTGCTGCTCCGAATAGCCCTTCCTTCGCATGTCCTCCACTGAGTCTGGGTAGATCACCTGGTTGCGCAGGGAGCCCACGGTCATGTAGGGCCTGTGAGAAAGCTGCGTGTCCACACACCACACCCACGTGCACCCTGTATACCAGCACATGCCCACATACTCACGCTGACACATGCGCACACAAACATGCACACAGGGTGCATGCCCACATGCCAAATGCATCTGCAGACATGCGTGCACACACACCCCCCACACAAATCTGAAATCGACGGGAGCGATTGGGGTGGCGCTGCAGGGAGCAGGTGCCATAGCCCCTCTGGATCTCCTAAGGTGCTGCTTCTCCACCGTTTCGTGGGCTCTGTTGGAGGCCACCTCCGATTGCACAGGTAGGAAGAGGTAGGGAAGAGACAGGGTACAGGGCTCTATTCCCCCCTACCCCCCGGCAGGTCCCTCTGGTGGCCCCAGGCTTTCTCACCTCTGAGGGATGTAGAACATGCGCTGGGGTGGGGGCTTGTAGAGCACACCCCCATACGTGGGCCAGAGCCCGCCGAGGATGCGGAACAGAGAGCTCTTGCCGCAGCCGTTGGGGCCTGTGATGAGCAGGTGCATGCCCTCTTCCACCTGCGGGGGCAGCAGCCCATAGCACCCGGACGGTGTGGGCCCCCCTGCACCCTGCACCCTCCTTCCCAGCCTCAGGAAGCTCCCAACACCTGACGCTGGCGGGTTGGCCCATCTTGTCCTCTTGGTAAGGGGACTGCAGTGCTTGGGGGATGCGGTCCAGTGTCCAGAGCCCTAAGTCAATGGGTGGCTCGGGACACAGGGAAATGGCCAAGACCCGGCCCTGTCCTCAAAGGCCCTAACATGCCCAGAGAACACAGGGCCAGCACAAGAGAAAGGGCCTATTCTGCCACACCTGAATGAATAGGTGTGTTCCAAGACAGTGTCCCTTTCCATCCCATTTGCCTCCCACTTCACTGGGAATCCAAGCTCAGGGTCGAGTCTCGACCCTCTTTAGGGAATGCTCTGAGAGGCGCTTTCTTTACAGTTTTAGACTTAGAGTACAAGCCCCACTGCCAGTCGCCCTGCCCCCACAGCCCCGTCTGCCTCCAGAGATGCCACTGTGGCCCTGAGCCCAGCATCAAGGACCTCATGCCCCCCCAATTTGCCAATCATATTATCCCCACCAGAGTTAGTTAGGGAAATGCCTACTGCAGGAACAACGCCAGCCGGCTGGGGCAGACAGCATGTAGGGAGGAGGGGGCAGGGGAGAGCACAGGCCATGGAATCAGAGATTGCCCAGGTCACCACCATTGTCACCCTTAGCCTCTCTTAGCCTTTGTGAGATCTACAGTAACGACACTGTGCACAGGGCTCTTGGGAGGATCCAAGGTCGTGGCCTTTGGCCTACATCAGGCAATGTTACAGGTAGAATTGTGTCCTCCCAAATACATATGTTGGAACCCTAATCCCCAGTACCTTAGAGTGTGACCTTATTTGGAAATAGGGTTGTTGCAGATATAACGAGTTAAATTAACACAAGGTCATACTGGAGTACGGTGGGCCCCTGATCCAACATGACTAGTGTCCTTATAAAAAGGGCACATTTGGACACAGACACACCCAGAGGGAGAACGCCACGGGAAGACAGAGGCAGAAGTCGGGTGATGCAGCAGAAGCCAAGGGACTCCAAAGGTTGCCAGCAACCCCCATGCCCTGGGAGAGAGGCCTGGAACGCACTCTCCCGCACGGTTCTCAGGAGGAACCCACCCTGCCGGCACCTCCATCTCAGGCTTCTGGCCTCCCAAACTGGGAGAGTCCGTTTCTGGTGTTAAAGCCACTGGGTGAGGGCAGCCTCCGGGTACTAACACAGCCACATGATGACCACCTCCCAAGGGTGGTGCCCAGTGCCCTGCTCATGAGGGTCTCGGTGCCTTTGCCTGCTTGCATTTCCCCGGGGCAGCCTGGGAACCTCCACCTCACATCTGCCAGCTACTGGCTGCTCCCCGTCACCCCTCAAATGAGTACAAGGACACACCACTGCATTATGCCGCTTGGGGTAAGGACACAGGCTGGGCCTCCAGAGTCCTGCCTACCCCCTCCTCTCACCTCTTCGATGCTTTCTCCCCTGCTGACCCAGCCCCTCAGCCCCTTGTTCCCCACACCCGCTGCAAAGGTCCAGGTCAGTGGAGTGGCTAGAGTTGAACCAGAGCCTCTAAGTCTTGGCTTTCTCAGGATCATGGAGAGCTGGCAACAGACGATAGGACCAGGAACACTTGGGTGACCCTTGACCAATCCTGGTAATCCCTAGTCTCCTTTATTAGCCTTGACTCTATTGCCCCAGAACAAATAGAGACACGTTGGTCTCTGATCTTGACCTTGGCCCACCTGCCACGTAGATCTAGAGACAATGGCCACTGCCAGCACAGGCAGGCAAGAAGCCAAGGACTGAGGCTTGCGGCCACGAACTGCCAGGTACCCTAGCCCTGTCTGCTCAGCCCAGCCCGGTCAGCGCTTCCAGGTCAGGGGCCCTTCCCCCATTAGACCTACCCTGATGTTGAGGCTGGCCACCACCACCTCTCCCGTGGGCGTGATGATGGGGATGTTCTCACAGATAATCCCTTGCTCCACGTCCACCACCTGGCCTGCAGAGAGAATGTGAGGAGGGAGGAGAGGGACCAGCAGCACTCCCTCTGCCTTCTGGCGGATTCTGTGTGCCCCCAGGTGCAGGCTTACCTGCCCCTAATAATGTGCCAGTGGATGCCCAATAGGCATCCTGTGGTCCAGGGCCCCTTGAGAACACAGCCAGGTCTTCCAACAAGCCGAACCCCTCTCCCCGTGTCTAGTACTGCACCTCTGGCTGCCAACCTCTGGTCCCTGGAACCCGAGGCATCAAGTCTCTACTCCTGCTCTGCAACCCTCCCCTTCCAGCACACTCCTCTGTGGCAGTTCACACACTGCATGCGGACTTGACCTTTCTCTGCTGCCCTGTGCCAGTGAGCGATCCCCTGTACTCAGGGACCACATCCTACTTTTTTTCAAGGAATAATCCAGGCCAGGGCCCTCAGGAGGGCAACTCAGCAGGTTGGCCAGCAGCGCCTTCCCTGGGAAGGAAGGCTGTTGGACCTGCACCTCTCCCCAGAAACCTTCCCCAGTGGCCCAATTCACCCTGGCAAAAGTCCTCGGAGATCCTGCTAGGCGGCCCTCCCCTCCCGGTTGGACTGGGACAGGCCAGGGGTGCAGTGGTCCCAGAGCACTGGGGTGGGCATGAAGGGGAGGGGCTGGGGTAGCAAGTCAGGCACCTGCAGCAGAAAGGCAGGGACGAGAAGAGATGGGATAACCTTACCTAGTATCTTCAGGGGCCCTTCCACGTGGACACCAGACTGTACCATGGCCCCAGACCCTGCCTGAGCATCCTCCAGCTCCCCAGGCCTCTTAAAATGACAGTGCTGGACATCCTCAAATACCTGGAACATCTCGTGAACTCGGGCTGTGTAGCCAGCCAGCTCTGTCACCTGTGGGGAGGGCGACCTGGCTCAGCCCCTGCCAGCCATGAAGAGAGGGGCATGGCAAGCGTGGGGTTGGGCCAGGGAGGGTACCTCCTTGTATGATGACATGATGCGCTCAATGGCATCTGCGGCCGCTGTGAGGAGGTTGCGGGCAATGGTGAAGGCTTCCGTGCGCTCGCTCACCAGCTCCTCCCCCCTCTTCTCCAAGGCTGCCTTCTTCATGGCCTCTGGGTCTGTGGGGGAGGGGCAGAGAGAGGGGAAAGTCAAAAATGAGCCACTAGAGGGGAAGATGAGGCTCTTCAGCAAATGGTACGGGGACAGCCGGATACGTGTATATACGTCCATGTGCCCGAGAGCGAGCCCACCTCACGCCACACACGAGAGCTAACTCGTGGTGGGTCACAGGCTGCCGTGTAAGAGCTAAACTAGAAAACTCTGAGAAGAAAACAGGGGTAAAGCTTCATGACCTTGGATATGGCAATGGTTCCTTAACTATGACACCAAAAGCATGAGCAACAAAAGAAAACCAGGTCAATTGAACTTCATCAAAATAAAACACTTCTGTGCAACAAAGGGTACCATCAAGAAAGTGAAAAGACAACACACAGAGTGGGAGAAAGTGTTTGTAAACCATGTATCTGATAAGGGTGCAGTATCCAGACTATTACAAAGAACTTTTACAACTTAAAGATAAAGAGATAACCCAAACAATGGGCAAAGGATCTGAATAGATACTTCTACAGCGAAGATAGACAAATGGCCAGTAAGCCCCTGAGAAGATGCTCGACATCATTAGTCATTACAGAAATGCAAATCAAAACCACCAGGAGATCCCACTTCATACCCAGTCAGGTGGCTAGAATTTAAAGGAGACAATGATGTGTCAGGGAGGATGAGAAGCTGGAAGCCACCTACGCTGCCAGCAGGAAGGTAGCTGCTGTGGAATACAGTCTGGCAGGAACCTTTTGAGGAGTCACCATATCACCCAGAAATTCCACTACTAGCTACATACCCAGGAGAAACAAAAATATCTGTCCACATGGAGACTTGTACATGAACGTTCACAGCAGCATTATTCACAACGGTAAAAAGACAGAAACAACCCAAGACGTCCATCAGTAGATGAATGGATAAAGAAATTATGGTACAGACATACGATGGAATATTATTCAGCCATAAAAAGGAATAAAGTACTGATTCATCTTACAACATGCATGAGCCTTGAAACCATTATGCTATGAGAAAGACGCCAGTCACAAAGGCCACATATTGTGTGATTCTATTTCTATAAAATGTCCCGAACAGGCAAATCCATAGATACAGCACATCAGTGGTTGCCAGGGACTGAGGGAGGGGGAATGGGGAGTGATTGCTAATGGGTCTGGGGCAGGGGTGGGGAACCTGTGGCCCTGGGGCCACATGTGGCCTTCTAGATCCCTGAGTGAGGCCTTTTGACTAAATCCAAATTTTACAGACTCTGTGGTTTCTTTATGGGGTGATAAAAATGTTCAAGACTTAGAGAGCGGTGATGGTTACACAACTCTGTGAATATTTAAAAACCAACAAACTATACATTTTAAAAGACTGGATTGGGCTGGGCACAATGGCTCACACCTGTAATCCTAGCACTCTGGGAGGCCAAGGCGGGAGGATCGCTTGAGCTCAGGAGTTTGACAGCAGCCTGAGCAAGAGCGAGACCCCATCTTCAATAAAAGTAGAAAAATTAGCTGCGAGCCTATAGTCCCAGCTACTCAGAAGGCTGAGGCAGGAGGATCGCTTGAGCCCAGGAGTTTGAGGTGGTAGTGAGCTACAGTGACACCACTGTACTCTACCTAGGGTTACAGAGTGAGACCCTGTCTCAAAAAAAAAAAAAATGCTGAATGGTATGGTATGTTAATTACATCTCAATAACACTGATGTCAAAACTGAGGCAGTAGGCATCTGGCTTTGTTCCTTGGCATAAACATCAATAGACTGCCCCCACCCTCTGTCCTGCACCATTGATGTCAGCCCCTCCTGGGACACACTTGTACTTCGTCACCTATGCCCAGACCTGTCTGCCTTTGAAATGCGAATGTCCCACTTTCTGACTATCCCTGCTATGCCCATTTCTCCCTCATCTCTACACCATGGTCTCTGATCTCCGTGCTCATGGCCAGCCTCTGTTTGGCCTCTGTTTTTCCCCACGAGCTGCTCCTGTCTTAACTTGCTTCCCTGGACCCCCTGGCAGCATCCTCCACCTTCCTTTGTCAATGGCCTTGACTCCTTTGACCCTTGCAGCCCCCACAGGAGCAGGGTTTTTACACAAGGGATCTTCTGGAAATGGCAGTGGGGAACAAGGAGAGACCAACACTGAGGGTCCTGGGGTGTGGCTGAAGTGGCAGGAAGGAAGGTTTTGGGAAGAGCCTGAGGACTCCATCCAGGGGCATCTGTGATGCTGAGGTGGGGCCTTAGGGATCACTGGTGAGGACGGGGCAAAGAGGAAAAGGAACACTGAGTCAGCTCAGAGCAGCGTGGGTGGAAAGGGGACAAGATGGATGGCCAGAGCACTTTGCATTGCCTTCTGGGGCCTGGCCCAGGAAACCAGGGAAGTGAACTTGGCAGGGGGTGGGGGTGTTAATCCTGAGTCTAAGGTCCTGGGCCTTTCTTTCCACCATGCCCTCAAGGACACAGCCCCAACAGACAGTAGGGACTCAAGCCCTCCTCCCCAGATGTTCTTAAAGCTGGACAGTCACTGTGGACAAGGGGAAGGGAACTGAGGGTCTTTGTGCCCAGGGCCTCCTGGTACAGAGCCTTGGGCAGCTAATACCAGGGTCCAGCAAGGCTTCTGGGCTGGAGTGAGCCATGGGCCCTGCTCCTCTTCTGGGCCCTCCCGCCTTACAGGCCAGCAGAGCAAAGCTTATCTAAATCTTCCCCACTTGGTAAGTGCCTGCCTCTTCCCGCTGGCCCCCAGAGCTCTTGGCTTCCCTGAAGCACCTGGAGCCCTCACTAGCCACCGGGTGCTAGGGACACTGCAGGGACAAAACAGACCAAAATCCCTGCCCTCATCGAGCTTGCAGTCTAAGGTAGGGAGAGGAGTGCCATAGACAAAGTATTCAGTTCTTGGAAGAGCATAAGGCGGGAAGGGGATGAGAAAGGTGGGCGGTGGGCAGCCCAGGTCTCCCCTATGGGGGGAGGCTGCCAGTAAAGCTCTGACAGAGGGAGGGACTGAGCCAAAGGGGCAGAGTGTGCAGCATGTGCAAAGGCCCTGAGGCAAAAGCATGTTTTGAAGGAATAACAAAGAGGCTGGGAAGATGGAAGTGGAGCAGGCAAGGGCCATGGGAGTGCTTCACTCCTTTCAAAGGCCCCCAGGCAGGGTCAGGAGCTCATGCTTCTTTGAATCTCCCCAGGTGGAAACACAATAGCGAGAGAATCAGAGAGATTTCTGTTTCGGAAACTGTGTGTGTATATATACATATAATCAAAAACCCTCTTGCCAGCAAATTGGATAAACTATAATACCGTTTAAAGCAGAGCTGTGATTGAAGGAGAACAGAGGAAATTCCCAGGAGCAAACAGAGAAGCAAGCAGCCAGGTAAGCCTCTGAAATCCCCAGAGACGGACAGGCAGAAGACTGGGAAGCTTTATTTGCTTAGCCTGCGTTCTAGGTGCACTGAACAAAAGGTCTCCTCTAGGAATTTGCAATTATATGTCAACAATTAAATACTACCTCCAAATTCAGAAACCAGTCCCCTCCTGCACAAGCTGAGAAGTTAACATGAAAATGGCCTCCAAGTGGTTAATTACCCTGGACTGCTGGCCAAAATAGAAGGAAATACGGAACTACACCCTCCTTTGAGGGCACACCGATTCCCACAGAAGTCCCATGGCAACACCCACTAGGAAATGAGTGAAGACCACAGACAGAAGATAAAGGTGGATTAGATCTCCAAGAACTTAAGATAACCAATCATTGATTGGATAGAGACTATGGAATATATATGATTTATATGATATACAGCATAAAAAGAATAGTTGAAAAGATGAGCAAATAAGAGACAAAAGCAGTTTGAAATTTCTATTTGAAAAAGAAAACTTTTTTGAGAAATAGAATCAAATAGAACTTACAGAAATGTCACTGAAATGTGAAAAAATTCAAGTTAGACACGGCCAGAGAGAAAACTGGTGAATTGGTGAATTGGTGAACAGGAAGGGGGTCTCAGGATTCTCCCAGGATTCAGCAGACAGTGCTAGATGGGAAATAGTACAGAGAGGGGAAGAGATCCAGCGAAGAGAGTGAGAAGTCCAGTATATGGCTAGCAGGAATTCCAGAGGAAGAGAATGAAAGAATGAGAGCCACACAACATTGGAAAAGATCATAGCTGAGAGTCTTCCAGCATGATTGAAAAACCTGCATATTCAAAAGACATACAAGTCTCAAGGATAAACAGAAACTCACACCTCGACACATCATAGTAAAACTACAGAATGCCAAAGAGAAAATTATAAAAGTACCCAAAGGAAAAAACGCAGGTTACTAAGGGAGGACAATTAGACTGCTAACAGATTTTTCAACAGTTGTAGAAGAAAGGAGAAGACAATGAAACATTGCCAAAGGACTGAGAGAAAATAACTGTCCGCCTAGAGTCCCACACCCAGCTAAACTTTATCTTGGGAATAAGGGTGAAATAAAGACATTTTCAGACAACAAAATAATCAAGAATTTCCCATGACAAAACCCTTGCTGAAAGAACTTTCAAAAGATGTCTATCTGGAGGAAGGTAACTGAACACAGAGAAAGGACTGAGATGTAAGAAGGAAATGGTGAGCGAAGAAACCAGTAAACTCGCCAGAGAGCTGCAGCACGCTCCGGCTGGATAGAGCAGGAGCAAAAAAGAAAAGCAAGGTCAAACCCAGCTCTGTGTCAGGCTACTGCAACACAGCTGACGGGCGTCGGTTCTGGCAGCTCAAGTGTCCTAAGGACCAGGAGGAGGGGGAGCTACTGATTAACCTAATACTGTGTCAAGTATGCATGTTCACCTTTTAAAGGGTAACCACTGACAGACTGAAAAGAGACTGAATACTTGCAAACCAGTACAGGAACAAAATGAGAATAAAGAAAACCTGATCATCGCTAATATAATAGGTAGAACAGGCTTCCTACTGCCCCCAAAAAGCCCTAGGGTGGAGGTCTCTACCTTTTGCAACGTGCAAAAGCTGTTTTAGGGGTGGGGAAACCAAGGCCAGAGAGGAAGGGGCTCACCCAGGTACGCCCCACATCCTTCCCCCTCCAAGCGGCAGTTGGACTGAGGACACGGACAGGTGGGCGAGGGTACATGCACCTGGTGAAGTGACAAGTGGTGTTTCTGAGTGGTGTGCAGGTGAAAAGCAATAAGGAGCTAAAAGGAGAGCCCAACCTCTGGTGACCTCAAGGCTGCCTGTAGGCCTCAGTGTCCCCAGAGGTACATGACAGGGCTCTTGCCTCTGCCCTCCCTGGAGCGCTGGCTCTCACCTGACTCTGAGTAGCCGGTGGCAGTGATGATGGGGACAGCCACCATGAGCAGGCCTGAGGCGCTCCACACATACTTCATGAGGAATTGCTCCAGCATGACGTACCACAGGCGTTCCAGAAGGATGAGGTTGATCTGTGAGGCCAGGTCCTGGTAGGAGTGCTGCAGCAGGGCCAGCTCCACCTGCCAGGGATGACAGAGACAGAGAGGCCTCGTGACAACTCCCATGAGGGCAATGGTGGGAGTCCCCAGTGCTGCTTACACGTTAGGCCATTTGACAGCATGACAAGGTGAAGAGCTGGGGGTTATGACTGGGCAGGGCCAAGTCTCAAACTCAGGGTTGGTGGGGGGTAAGGCACTGCCTGCTGTCACAGTGCAGCTCTCATCCCCTCTGTGCCTTGAAAACAGGCCCAGGGCAGTCACTTTTCACTCCCCTGCTGAGCCCATTTCTTTGGGATCCCCCCAGCATCCTCCTCCTGGCCCTGCTGTCCAGGTACGACCTCCCCTTCCCCGAGAGAAGACCAGCAGCTCTAACATCTGACCATGAACTAAGCAAAGAGCAGTACAGGAGAGCAAAGGCCAGTGCTCTTGGTTCTGAAAAACCCGGTTTAATAGTCTTAGGCCCCACCTCCCCATCCTTTCCCAGAGTTCCTTGGGGTGAGAAACTTGCACTGCATTTTCCCACCCAAACCAGGAGCCTGGCTTTTGCTCCCTTAGCAGTGGGTAGGCCTCTCCTGCTCTCCTGTCCGCATTCCCTCACTGGTCACCACCTGCTATGTCTGGATGGAGACAGGAGGGGAAAGGACCTGTGTAGGGAAGAGTGTGGCAGCAGCAGTCAGATGGGCAGGGGAGGGTGGCGTTGTCAGGATGTGCTCAGGTCAAGGCCACCAAGGCTCAGTCCAGGGGCATGGGACCCAGCCCTGCCTCCCCACACCCATCTGGTGACAGTTACCCAAACTGGCACCGTTTGCTGAGTGTTTTCACATCTGTCTCTATTTGATTCTCACCATGTCCCACTGCATGTGTATCCACATGTCCACTTTACAGTGGAACATTGAAGCCCAGACAGGCAAAATGATCTGCCCAAGTCCATTCACACAGCCTGGTGGTAGAATTTGGACCACACTGGCAGAGCTGTTAGGAGAACCACATTCTTGTAAATGACGCTTTGACTTACCGAGAAAGGTTTACTTTGTTCTCAACCACTTAAGAGGTTCTATGTATGTGTGTGTGTGTGTGTGTGCATATGTGTGTTTAAATAACCCTCCCTGTTGAAATCCCAGCAAGAACAGAATACTCTGTCACTTCTGCCCTAACCTGTTGATCTGAGCCTAGGCTGGTGTCCACGGGGACATCAGCCAGTGGGAGGACTGGAGTGGGCCACATGCTTGCACAGCAAGGGCAATTGACCCACCCATGGGGTCCTGTCACCCCACATAGCTTTTCAGCCAAGGCCTATGCAGATAAGCTGTGGATGCACATGGGGCCCTCTATCCCTGGCAAGCAAACCCTCTTGGCCAATGTGCTACTTCCTGGAGCCAGCCTGGGGGAAGTCCTTCAAAGAACGAGCAATCTCTCTTCTGCCCCCCACCTCCCAGGTCTGCGTGCACAACTCAGCTTTCCTCAGGCCAAATCTCCCATTCTTGAAGTGAGCACACCTCTGAGTGTCCTGGCAAAGCAGACTCGTGCCGAGAGCTGGCAGCAGCTCCAGCCAAGGCTGACAGTATAGTTGCCGGTGATGTGCCAAGCGCCTTACCCAAAGGCGTGGCTGCCTGCCAAGGCCTTACAGCAGGAGGAGAGGAGAGCAGGAGAGGGGTTTCAACTGAAGGCCGTGTGCCTTTTCTCCTAATCTGTAGTCTGGCCCACACCTGGGATGCCCCTCTCTGCAGAGTTCAGGGACAAGCCTTTTTTAAAAATTAGGGACAAGTCTGCTTCTCTGCCCAGGGCACAGCCAACAGAGATTTGGTCCTGGGGCAAGAAGCCACCTGACCCAGGGAGCACACAACAGCCTTCAGGAGGTGGATGCCATTGTGCCCCTCCCCCCTCAAGCACTCGGGAAGTGAAACCAAGTCGCAGAGAGCTGGGCCAGAGGCAGCTGCAACCCCAGGCACAAGGAAGGGGAGGGGCTGAGGAGAGATAAAGGGAGCATTGGCCTGGAGTAACCTTTCCTGGTGGCTGCCTGCCCCCCCACCCCAGCATTGGCCCCTGCCCACCAGGGAGCTAAGCGCCTGGGATCCAGGCGGAAGGGCGGCCACGCAAGGGGCAGGAAGTGTGTCCTGCCGCGGTGGCAGCCTGGGCCCAGCATCCCTAGCCTGAGGGTGCAGGAAGGCAGCTGAGCCAGTTGGTAGGCAGGCAGGCCTGTGGGCTCCGGAGGTCTTGACCCCGAGTACGGCCACTGCCGCCGCGGCCAGGCCAGCTCGTTAACCTCCGCTAAGGGCTGAGTCATGCCCATAATGCCTGCCTGCCTGGCCGGCCAGCTCTGCTGGACGCTGGCCTTCAAAGGGCCCAGGGGCCCAGGAGGGGCCAGACAGCACGGCGAGTCCCATGGTCCCAGCTCCCAAAAGGCATAGTCTCCTCCCGGCTGGCTGCAGGAGTGGGGCAAACCAGAGCTCTAGCGTCTCAAACCGCTAGGATCCACAGCTCTAAGTCCAGGACAACCTCCTTGAGGAGGAGAGGAAGCAGAAGTGGCCTGGAGTGAGCAGGCAGCCGGCACAGGACAGTCCCCACCCAGCCTTTCTGCTTCTCCATTTCTGTGCCGAAGTCCATGGCTACCCAATGCCCTGCTCACCCCAGAACCACCCTCCATGGCTCCACATGCTTGGCATCAGCCCTGGCCAGCCCTGGGCTTTCCCCACCACTCATGGCCGCCTGCTCCTGGGCCTCCCAGCCACGCACTTCGCTCCATGCCCAGCGCCCCAACCTGTCCCACCTCGTGGCCCCCATAGAAAGCGATCTCCTCCGAGTTGGACACCACACGAGAGTGCATGTAGCGCAGCTCCCCCTTCCGCCGTGCCTCCTCTGCCACCAGCTCCCCAAACTTGGGTGAGAAGGCCCGTAGCACGTTGGCTGTGAGGAATACCACGAGGCCAGCAATAGCCGAGGGCCAGGCTGTGCCGGCCCCGTGTGATCGGGCGGCTCGAAGCAGGGTGTAGGAGGTCACAGCCACGTCTAGGAGTGGCTTGGTCAGGTTGGAGTACAGGTGGGCCACAGAGGCAGCAAAGGCCACCACATCCTCTGTCAGAGACTGGTCAGGGTTGCGAAGCCGGCCATCCATGTTGCTGACTCGGTAGTAGGTCTGCTGGGAGAAGTAGAGGCTGTAGGCATGGGCCACCAGACGGCTGCGGAAAGACAGGGCCAGCTGGCCCTCCAGGTAGCGGATGGCACTGTTGATGAAAGTGGCAGGGAGAGCGATGAGGAGCCACTGCAGCAGCTGCCAGCCGAAGGCCCGTGGGTCCTTGCGCACGATGCAGCGGGCCAGCCTTCCGTCCAGGCGGGCCACATATACTGACAGGAAAGTCCTGCTCACCAGGGCGGCCGAGTGCAGTGCTAGCAGCCCCGTCTCCCTGCACAGCACCCGGGGGAACAGCAGCCGCAGGAGCCACAAGAGTCGCTGCAGGAATACCCGGTTCATGCCGGCCTTAGCCACTGTGGCCCCGGAGACCTCTTGCGTGGGATCCCTGGTTGGCACCTGAAGGCCCCTGGCCGGAGCCAGGCACTGCCGCACCAGGGGGTAGATTTTGTGGACCCCATAGGCGGTGAGAGCCAGGACCACCGCTGTGCGCTTCAGCGTGGTCACCCGTGAGGTCCGGGGGGTGGAAAGCACCGGCATGTCACCTCAGCTGACAAGCAGGAGGCTGGGACTGGTGCCTGAGGCAGCAGTCGAAGCAGGTGGCTGGAAGGGTTGTTGCTCTGACCCGGGGCTCGTCGTCTAGGCAACTGGAAACCTTGCAGTGGTCCCTGAGACTGTCGCTTTAGGCCCCCGAGGTGGTGCTGGGGTCCCTGGTGCGGTGGGCTCAGGGCTCTCCAGGGTCGCGGCTTCTTCAAGCAGCCCAAGCGGAGGAACTTGGCTATCCTTTCATGTCAGTTCCCTAGCCCCTGAGGTCAGAGTCTCAAGAGGTCTCCGGCAGAGAGGGCGTCTCTTCCTCTCCTCCTCCTCCTCTCCTGGTGGCGCCCCTCCCCGGGGCACCAGGCGCGTCGGTCCGCTCCACAGCCTGGCTGAAGGGACAGTGACTCCGCCACCGGCCCAGAATCCCCACCTTCCCACCCCTCCCCAGGGGCGAGTCGGGGGAAAGGGAGGAGGCGGAGGAGGAGCGAGAGGCGGAGTCCGGGCGTGGGGCACCCCACCCCGTTCTTGCCCGCGGCGGGGCCCCGCCCCCTCCCGGACCACAGAGAGGAAGGACGACCGCGCGGGCTAGAGAAGCGGCCCTCGCCTTTCTGCCAAGGCCCCACCCCGCCCCGCCCCGCTTCCAACTCCGCGCGCCCGGAGCGCTGGAGGCGCCGCCGCCGACCGCCAGGCGCCGCTTCCTTTCAAGCTCTCGGCGCCCAGTCCTCGGCTGAGGGGCGGGGGAAGTGGCCGTAGCCCGAGCCACTGCGGCTTCGCAGGCTGGGGGCGGGGCCCGCCGGGCGCTTCCGGTTTCCGGCTGCGGGGCCAGGGGCGGTGCCGGGGCTGTGGTGGGAGAGTTTGGCTGCTGCTGCGGGGCGTGCGTGGTGACTGTGGGAAACTTGGTGAGCCGGGTCCGCGCGCCAGGCCGGGCTCCAGGGCCGCCGAGGGTCCCCCGGCCCCTCGACGAGGGAGAGAGGCGAGCCCCGCGGAGAGACCAGGGGACGCGGGGAGCCTCGGGGCCCATGGCCGACCCGGGAGTGCGGGCGGGGCCGAGCGAAGGGAAATCGGGGCGGTGCCTTCGGGAGCCAGGCTCCGGGGGCGCGAGGGTGGGGTGCGAGGGCTGGCGGTGAAGCCCCACCAGGAGGTGCCGCCGGGGTGGGCCTCGGGGAGCGTGTGCCAGGCCAGGGCTACGTCGGGGACCCCCTGGTGCTGCGCGGTCGGCTCTCGAGCTGAGTGGACGCTGTGGCCCACTGGGGTTACTGAGAGGGTTTTTCTGGCTTCTGAGGAGACTGCTTCTAGAACTTTCTCTATCTGGGTGCTCATCCGAGACCTGCATTTGCTCTTGGCCCCGACTCCTGCCCTCTAGGAGTCGCTCTTGTGGACCTTTTCGGGGCGCCCTGAGGCCTCGCGCTCCATCGGAGACAGAAGCGGCCCTCAATTGGAAGGCTTTTTTAGCCCGTGATGCAGCCCAAGAGGGAGGCTGCTGGTTTTCTCTCAGCGCCGTTGAAAGGGCTTGGGAGGGAAGGGCCTCCTCGTTTCCCCGGGGTTGGGAGGAGACGGGGGCATCGGCAGCTTTTGGAGAAGATGCGGTTACTGAAACACTGCAGTCCTGGGGCTGGCTGGGAGTAGGAATTTGAAAAACGCCCAACCTCTGCGGCAGAACTCCGCTTGACTGGGAGGGGAGCGGGCCTGATGAGTGTTGAGGATTTCCTCCTGTTTGTCGTGTACTATTCTTTATGAAAAACGCTTTCCCAATTAAACAGGCATTAGGAGTCTCTCGGACTCCCTGGGGAAAGGAATCGTCAGGAAAGGTGGCTCTGGACACGTTAACGCACATGCTAGGGGGGCAGCAAGTAACTCAATCCCAGGAAGCGGAAGTCTGTGGAGCCTTTGAACACTGTTGGGCAAGGAGCCCTGCTTAATCCAGTCCAGCACTTAAAAGACTCTGCTATAGAGTTCTGGGGTTCAGGGTGAGGAGTGGCAGTCCCAGCCTCTCAGGGTACCTGAACTGCATGTCATTGGCTGCTCAGCTTTTACTCCTGTTCCTTCTGTTTTGCCCTGCCAGGAAACAAGCTCACATCTCTCTGTGGGAAACCTTTTAGCAACAGGATGAGTCTGCAGTGGACTGCAGTTGCCACCTTCCTCTATGCAGAAGTCTTTGCTGTGCTGCTTCTCTGCATTCCTTTCATTTCTCCTAAAAGGTATGGTCTGTAGAGCATGCAGGCATGTAAGTGGAGGGTGTCTGTTGCCAAGCCCTGTGGCTCCTGTGTGCAGAGTTGGTGGGCCCTGGAATTGGGGCCAGATGGAACAGGTAGAACCTGTCTGAGGTGAGAGTGGCAGGGGTTGTGTTTATTATTGCCAGTGCTCCACATGGTTTTACTTTTTCACGGCTTGCTGAGTTCCTTTCCTGTGTACCCTGCCTTCTGGTCTTCAGAATGCCCCAAAGGGAAGATCTATCTCTAGTTATGGGGCTGGAAATGATGCCCTCCCACCTACTCTTGGATCCTTGGAGTGTGGGGGATGGCAATGTAGGATCTGGAAGACTTGCAACACTGGGTCACATTATTGCAGATTTGGTGACTCCTGTCCTCCTAACTAGTCTCACTGGCATTTGTGCAGTAGTAGCCTCGTGAGCATTAGTCAGCCTATGAAGGATGAAGCCATATTGTTTTCTTGTAATGAACAGAGGACCTGTAAACAGTTAATTGGAAATTAATTTTTAATTACATATATAAACACGTTTCCCCTGTTTAAATTATAATATTACAAATAAAGCTAAGTCTCCACAGATATTTTTAGAAACTTTTTAAATGAAAAATATACTCCTGATGTGATACCATAGGAAGCATGAAATACCACTGAAGGAATGTTTTTTGCCAAAAACCAAACTTGCATACAGTTCAGAGGAAACGCAGAAGCAGAGGGCCTCTTGGAACTGTGATCTGGGAAGCTTTATAGGACAGACAACCTGTTCTCTGCACAAAATGAATTAGAAAAGAAAACAAAAGAGGGAGAAAGAAGGGGGAACTTACAGAATAAGAGAGACTTATGACATTTACCTACTAAATGCCACATCAGTACCTTGCTGGGTCCTGATTCAAACTAACTGTTAAAAATGCAATGATTGGACTTTTGAACTCTGGCACTGATAATGAGGGTTTCTTGTTGATTTTTACAGTACGTAAACACTTCTGAAGGCTCTTCTCTTTTAGAGCTACATCCTGAAGTATTTGTGGATGGAAATGATAGGAGGTCTGGGGTCTGTTTTATAGTAATCCAGGGTGATGGGGGTGTACATGAGCCAAGATTTGTTGTGTGGAAAGATGAATAATGTATGTGTGTGGCAAACATTTTAAATACTATGAAGGAGAGTAAATTGAAAAGTAAGTTTCTCTCCCCAGAAACTACAAGTGTTTATAAGACTGGTTTTGTAGACATTTTTATATACATGGACAGGTATCCTTTTTTTTTTTTTTTTAACGTTCTTGAGCGGATGTCATAAATTGGAGAATTGCAAGCAACTGAGGCAAACTGTGAATGGGCATTCAGCCATTGGAGAAGAGTACAAAGCTGGATTTTTGTTCTGCTCCGGACCCTGGATCCCAAGTGTATGTGCTTTCTCTTCAGCCCCATCCTCGTATCTTCTCCTTTACAGATGGCAGAAGGTTTTCAAGTCCCGCTTGGTGGAGTTGGTAGTGACCTATGGCAATACCTTCTTCGTGGTTCTTATTGTCATCCTCGTGCTGTTGGTTATCGGTGAGTGAACTATGGCTGAGGGCAGCCACCTGATCTAGACCCTGGCCTCTGCTGCAAATCTTTGTGCCATTTTTTGTGTATAGTGTAAAGTTTTGGCTTCTCAGAGACAGACTGTTTAAATGCCTCCTGTCTTTCTGTTGGGGAGGAGATGTTCTTCATCCATACTGCTGACTGCTAGCAGGGCCTTTACTTTGAGAGGTGCTTTTAGCAGTGGGCAGGGTCTTATAGCAAGCAACCTTTATGCACTCTTATGTTGACCACCTTGCATTTCTGAGGTGCTTCTTGGGTCTTTTTAGAACTCGAAGTTGAGAGAAGCTAACTGGCCCATTATCTTACTCTAAGTAGTGCTGCTCACCTGGGACCCCAGTCACTTAAACAACAGTGTTAATCTTCTTCCTCGATGCTTAAAACAGGGCCTCTAATAGGGGACTGAGCAGTCAGGTAGACAGTGAGCCTAGCTGGGAAGGGAAGTCCTGTCCTGTAGTATGAGAGATGGGGAGAGAACTAGATATCTGGCAGCATAACTTGGGGACAAATCCCAGACATCTCTGGATCTGGGCTAGACTTTAGGTTTTTCTGGGTCCTTCCAGCTCTGTACATTGAGGTATATACCAGCAGGGGCTTGAAAGATAAAACTGGTGCAGGGGCCAGGTGATGTTAAGATGGAGGGTGAACATTTTATGACTAGGTGGTGGCGTGACCATTTAGAGACAGGGGGAATGAATAAAGCTCTTGTCTGGTTAGATGCTTGTTGTTTTGCTGTGGTAAGTGGTCAATATGTTCCTGTGCTTGGACTCCAAAGTATTGGCTTGGCTTTGCTATGGACAGCAGTCTTGTCTTAGAGCTGTGATGCTCGCTTAGGCATGGAGCACTCCTCTCCCCCTGAGTCCTCAGCAGAAAAGCAGTGGGGATGGGGTCGGGGGCACTTTGGTTCAGGGGAATGTGCAAAGCCCCACCCACTAGCTGCAGCTTTAGACATTTTTCCTTCGTGATGTTTCCAGGCCTGACAGGATGTGTTTAGGTAGGACTGCCTCTGAACAGGTCAGGTGTGGCCTACCAGTTCCCAGCCACGTAGGGTAGCTGCAGGCTGCCTGAATACCTCACTGTTCTTGAAATACGTGGCAAGAGGCAGCTCTTTCCAATTAGGGTTCTCTTCCTGAGCAGTCTCTGAGCTAGGAGTGGGTAGGTGATATGCATGTTGTCCCTGGGGCTGAGCTCCACGAAAAGTCAGGCTACCCGGTATTTGAACTGAGCATGTGTGTTTTTGCTTTTGGGTTTGGGGTGGGGACAAGAATTGGGGAAAGGAGGGACCTTGCTAAGGATTATTCCCTCAGGACCTTGCCTCTTCCCCATAGCAGAACCACAGACGTGTCTCTTTCCGGGTGCAGCTTAGTGGGCCAGAGAGATCCTTTGCAGAATAGTACTTGGCAAAACAAGCCTTCATTCTTTTTTGGATCAGGGAACTGCTTGGAAGTTCTAGAGAGACATGGCTATGATGACTGGCTGCTTCCTACCCTCATGTTAGGAAACATAATCTAGAAAGATCTGCAGAGTCTTCTACAAATATAAGTGTTAGTTACTAGCAGATACTAAAGGTACTAGCATAACCAGATTGAGCTATAGCCCTGAACAGCCCTGGATAGCCCCTGCCC